TGGTCTTTGGTCCTATTAAGTCTAACCCTATGGAGAGCAGAAAGTCCCTCTTTCTATTCCATAACTTCCCAATTGTAGAGGTTTCTTGTGACCTTCACCAACCACTCCTCATTCCTTTAGAACCACGGTAGGACTCCTTGATCATTGCGTTCTTATACTGGGCGATAGCAAATATTTAAGGAAACTGTGCTCTGGGTGTTCTTCCCTCAGTCGAAGCATAAGCCATAGGCTAACCCTATCTTCCGAACCCACCCTCCAGCTAATACAATCCTAGAAATTCCTCTAACCCATGTAAAGTTTCTTCAATAGGCCGTTGCCATGTGGTCTTGACGATACCCCATTGTGGTGGTAACCTCTAGCTACAGTCTCAAACTTCGTCTCAATAACCCTCCACCAGAGAACACTATTTTCGTTAATGAATCTCCAAAATCGTTTTCCCTAAATGGGCATATTAATCTCCACCCAAGACCTCAAACCCAACCCTCCTTGGTGAGTAAGCTTTTTTTAACCTTGTCCGACGCCACAAAATGATACTTCATTTTTTCTTATTTATCACCCCATAAATTCTTACATTGGATTGATTCCAACCTCAGCCACCTCATAGGGATCGTAATTAAGGACATTTAATAAATATGAATATTATTTCCAAACAAAAAAATAGGAATATTGACTATAGTATTTTTGGTAAGAGTCAACTTCCTCCCTTTAGAGAAAAGGTTTCTCTTCCACTTGGGCAACCTCTGTTCAAGCCTCGCCACCACAGGGTCCCAAACCAAACATCCTTATATTTGGCCCCTAAAGGAAGCCCAAATATTTAATAAGCGATTCCGTACAACCACACTTCAAAATGCTAGATTAATTTGCTAGCATCCCACTCATCACCCAATCTCACAACCTTCCAAATTTTTGTATTTTAGTTCTTCTACAATCTCATTGGGAATTATGGTCGTATCTAAGATCTGTCTACCCTCCACGAATGCTTGTTGGCTCACTCCCACTGCTCGCTTCATCACCTTTGCCATTCTTAATGCAAATATTTAGTTATGAGCTTGTAAACCCAACCCATGACACTAATGGGTCTAAAGTCTTTGATATTTGTTGCCCCTCAACCTTTGGAATAAGTATAAGACAAGTGGAGTTTAAGCTTCTGACAAAAGATCTCAACTCTTGAAACTCATTAAATAGCTCAACTATGTCACTTTTATTATGTGCGAAAAACACTAAAGAGAACCCATAGTGAAGCCATTTGGTCCAGGTGCTTTATTCTTCTTGCATTGTATAAGGCCTTTTAGGATCTCCTCAGAAAATGTTTGTTCAAGTGTTTCCCAGCTTTGTTTTTCCAAGATTATCAAATGCAGACCATCCAGTTTAGGCCTCCAATGAGAATCCTCTGAAGAAAGCCTCCTGTAAAGCCACTTGACCCCTTCTCTGAAATCTTCATTTCTCTTCATCACATGGTTATCAATATCCAGCTCGTCCACATAATTGATTCTTATTTGGTGGTTACCCATGTAGTGAAAAAATTTATATCTCTATCTCCCTCCTTTATCTATATGGCTCTTGATTTTTGTCTCCAGGAAATCTCCTGCATCTGCAATTTGTTATTCAGTTCAAAACGGATGGATTCCTTGTGCGTCGAGTCTTCAATGGACAAGATGTCCATTCCCGTCCAAACAGTGAAGCCCCTCAAGATCCTGGAGTAGGGCTGAGTAAGAACATTATCCCCCAAACCTCCACTCCTTATATAAAGTCTTTATTCTCTACCACTGTTAACATCCTTAGACATGGTGACTAATTTGAAAGTAAGAGAAGAAGAAGAAGAAGAAGAAGAAGAAGATGAGGAAGAAGAGAAAAGAAGAGAGGAGAACGGTGAAGAGAAATCTAAAGAGTAAACTTTATTATTTTTGTTTGTGTTTACAAGCATAGAAAGACTTTAAAACAATAAAAGTAAACAAACTTAGTGGCTGGAATCCTGCGGTCGTTTCCTGTTGTAGCAACGGTCGCGGGATTTGATGGTAAT